TGTCATAGAGGATATAATACAGAGAGGGTTAGAAACTCCAGTCCCATCAAAGACAAGCTCGAGTTGGTTTGGTAACCTGAGGGAGACCTTTTTGGTTTTACAATCAATAGAGGCGTGGTTGGCAACTAGCCAATCCATCCCTAAGATTACATCAAAGCTCCTAATGTGGAGGGGAATCAAGTCTATGTATAAGGTTTTGCCTTTTAAAGATATAGTACATGATCTGTACACATCAGTACTACAGGCAGAATTACCAAAAGGAAAAAACACAGATAATGTATATCCTAAGAGTTCGGGTGTTGATGCCAGCTTGGCAGCAAAGGGTGGTGCAACAAAAGAATGAGTCGAACCCAAATCAATGAGAACGTGAGCTAAATGACCACAGACAGAAAGTGTACCTGACACAACATTTTCGGTAACTTCTGGTTTTCCAGGTACTACGGCAAAAGCCCTAAATTAGCGTTTTTGGTCCTTCCTCTCTCCTCCAGGTTCTCTGGGTTTTCTGATTGGGCCAGAGGGGCTGGTTATAGGATTGGTCAGCTTTGGACAATCCCTCAGCAAGTGGCCCACTTGACCACATTTAAAGCATGCTCTCGTATCACGATGGTATTGTCCCTAATGAGCCCTTTCACACGTAGGGCAAGTTGGAATGGTGCCACCTCTAGGGTTAGTAGAACCTTGATTGCCTGAGTTGATTATGCCCGTATTCACCTTCTTGGGAGGCGTAACGCCAGATCTCCTGTTGTCTCTTTTCCATAATTGCTTCTTTTGGCTTGGTTTCCTGGAACGAGAGGCTTTAATTCCTTTTCATGAAATGTACGCTCGGTCTACCATTTCTGCATAGGTTAGCAGTTTCAAAACCTCAAGTCTATCTTTGATTTCAGCATCCAATATTGCTTCGAATTTTCTTGTTTTTCGAGTTTTGGTGGGGATGACATATGTCGCAAACCGAGCGAGTTGTGTAAACTTGCTCTCCTATTCGGCCACCGTCATGGTTCCTTGCTTTAGATGTATGAATTCCGGTGCCTTTTGTTCCCGCAACGAATCTGGAAAGTATTTTGCATAAAATACTTTCAAGAATCTTGCCCAAGTCACAATTTTTTCTTTCTCTAGAGTGAGAAGCCACCATTCTTGCGCATTATCTTTAAAAGTGAAAGTGGCGAAAGTCACCTTCTATTTTTCGGTGCAGGGTAGGGCGCGAAAAATCTTTTCCATGTCTTTAACCCAAGCATCTACTACCATTAGGTCTGGACCGCCGGTAAATGTGGTGGGTTTCAGATCTTGGAACTGTTTTATGGTAACCAGCTCTTCTCGCCGTTCCGGCATCCCATTGTTGATGTTAGTCTGCAAGGCTTGTAAAAAGCTAGTGACTGCTCTTTCCATGATTCTTTCAATAGATTTAGTGCCACTAACTGATGACTCGCTTCCGTTACCATTATTGGCCATTCTACAAAGTAATAAACGAGGCATTACATCCCTAACGTAGCATATATATAAGCATATATAGCGCAATATATATAAAATACCAACTTGACTATTTTTACAATTAATATTACATCCTTGTTCAAAAGTCAAAATATGTTAGTGTCTCATTCCTGTGATGCAACAAAAAAATAAAAAAACAACAAAAAAAGGATTAGAACACATCATGGTTAGCGTACAAAAGAAGTTTTCTTCTACCAAATTTAGAGTGGTAGGTCAAACGGGTCAAACAACCATGGGAAGTAGTGTTGCATAAAAAGATCAAATTCTCATCCCAACTGTACGACACCAAAACAAACCCATGTGGCCTGGACTGTGTAAATGGGGATGGACTGTATGTAGCCCCTAAATGCTCGATCGACGATCCATCCTGGTTGCTCAATGTATGATAGGTCATTATTAAAAACAACATTTTGAATATTAATAATTTTTAACGGGTTAGGGATATTGGTGAAGATGTAGCCCTTGGGGTACACATTTTCCTTTTTGGCAACAAAATCTGGGGGCAAAAGGCTAATGATGTAGTGCGGGCGGTCATATCTTGGGTCAAGGCCGAGGACATGGTGGGTCCGAGAAAACATCTACGCGTGTAAGCACGACTCTGCCTCCACAATAAGTATGGTACGTCAGTAGGATCGGTCTGTACATATATCGGCTGACCCATCTATTGGGCAAGGCCTGGATGTAGTCTTCTAATTATATCCTCCGAGTCTCCTCATCCTTCAAGTGAGGCGGGGGTGGGGTGCTCTGCTAAAATATCCTCCAAATTAATGGCCCCAAGCTCCTCCCAAAATGCCTCATCAAGGTTAATCCTGGACATTCCCTACATCACTAGAATAAATGTGAGATTTCACAAAAAAGGATTAACGTCGCAGGTAAATATTTATTTCTTTAATATGTCTAACCGTTGCTCTGATACCACCTTATTACGACCCAACCCCAGGGGCTTAAGGCTGGAATCACAACTTACTAAATAATTTTAATCGTAGTAAATTAAATGTCGCAGGCAGAGGCAAAATGGAAGTAAGAAAATAGTTAAACAAAAATTAACTTCATTCGACTATTTTGATAAAAGAAGGTACATCTATAGGGCTTGTATTTATTTTTTTCAGTGACTGGCCCTCAGTTAAAAAACAAAAGGGGAAAAAGGAAAGAAAAACAAAAATTAGCATCAAGTTCTTGTTCGAGTTCCACTACATAAGGTTACGGATCTTCCTCACATCTTGTCACCTAAAAGCGTAACAGCTATAAGCATCCAGCAGAGTGAGAAATATTATGCCAAGAGTATAGGGAACACGAAATAATCATGGATAGTTAGATGAACTAAAACATTTACATAACTTAATTTGAATAAATAAATTATTCAAAGTGGCAGAAACTGAAATATAGAAATTATGTAAATAAATAACCATAACCACAATACAGAATAGAACAAAATAGAGGTCACATGAGTGACAATCAGAACAGAGGTCAATGAATCTATGACAAATAGAGGATCACAAAGTGGCCAAACAGAGGCCAATAGTTATTTAAGTCTCCAAGACATGAGACTTCCGTGGTGGTACTTACAAAACATAATTATTTATAAAATCATTGTCAAATAATTTCTAAAAATTAAACAAACATATTCATGGATTTCAATTTAAGCAATATAGAGTATAGAAAATAATTAACGTAATCAAAATATTAATATAATTTATAAAACATAGATTGCGTAAAATAATTTATGGTAACTCAAAACATACGTAAAATATATTATGATGACTCAAGATATAATATAACTCACCTTAATATTGACCCTTATTACTTTCTTCTTATTTTTGCAACCTTCTTATGGCGTTTCCTTCCCTCCCCTTTTCCTTTCTATTTTCTTTTCCTTTCTCTCTATACTTTTTACAGTCCCAGCCATCCCTTTATATATATAAATACATAGCCTAGGGTGCATTAATGGTCTGAATTGGCTGATTCATCCTCCCTAATCCTAGACAGCCTAGATGGCTGAGGTTTAGTCATCCAGCAAATACACACATTGATTCTTGCTGGATTTGTTTTTATTATTATTAGATTTGTTATTATTATGAGTTTTGTTATTATTATATTTATTTATTCCTTATTATTATTATTATTATTATTATTATTATTTCCACTCTTACATTTATTTTTTTCCATATTTATCTTTATATATAGCTATGCATATTATGTGGTATTTAATTAAACATTCAGGGTGTCACACCCCTAAGATAAATTGTTCAGATTTCTTACATGGGCACGCATGACTTGTGGGCCCCATCCTTTGAAAGATAGGAAAATATTTGGGACCCTTTTTGGAGATGACCCCCACACTCCCAAGTGATTCTGGTACTTTATGTATGTGTGGGGCTCGCACATGTATGCGTGGGGTTCACATCATAAGTAATCCAGATTTATGGGAGTCTTATAAGGGTGGGGTCTCAATCATTACTCTGAATGATATATGTGTTTTCACATGAGCTTACATAATATGTGATCTCATTTCTTGTGAGATATATGTGTTCACATTGTGTCGTGCTCACATGGGCCCACATGACTTGCGCGTGTTACCCTTGTGAGATATATGTGTTCATTTTGTATTTAATCTTCGGTGCAATTAGAATTTCTCGTACAAAATGGTTAAATAATCAACTACACAAATAATTTCTCACTTAAAGCAACTCTCACATTATTTTTTATTTTTTACTAGTTAAAATAATAAAGAAACATATTGTAAACTCTGTATTTTATCTAATCAATTTTTTCATTTATGTGCTACCGCTACTTTTTGTTTTAATTGGTTTAAAGAATCACTCAAGGCTCTCCAAATATAACTAGCTTAAAATTTTTTTGTTAAAATAATTATTATAGTAGTTAGTCCATTGAAGTGAGTAAAATAAGATAAAATTAATTATAATAGCTAACAAATATAGTTTAAAGAGTCAGTTAGAATCAACCCTAGTAGATTATTAAAAAGAAAAAGTGAAATAAAAAAAAACATCAAAAAAATAAAAGGTAATGTGAATCATGATGTAATCATTCTAAAAACAAATATATCATTTCTAAAATTACTTTTTTAGACTACATAAGATTATTGTAATCAAATTCGAAATATGAGAAAATAAAAGATAATGTGAATCGTGATGGAATCATACCAAAAATAAATATACCATTTTTAAATTATTTGAAGATTATTGTAATCAGAATGGAAAAAGTTACGCTGTGTTTGGTTGGGAGATTTGGTAAGAGATTTAGAAATGGAAAGGGAAAAGGTGTATGAAACTAAATGAAATATAAGTATGTTTTATTTACATTTTATTTATTTTTTCTATTTCTCTTTCCAAATCCATACTCAAATGCCCCAACCAAATACAACATTAATGATTAAGTTAAATAAGTTCTCAAAAAAAAATTTTGGTAAGTAGGGGCCGCATTTTTTTTTACTAGTATAAATAGACCACCTCTGTTTGCTAGAATTTGCAAATCAATTATAACCCATAAGACAGAGAGTCTGAACTTAAATTGTTTGTTGTTGAGATCAAAGAGGATGGCTCATCAGGGAAGAGGCAATGCAATAATCATCGCCGTGGCACTGGTGGTTTGCATGGTGGTGCTCCTCCGTTTTGAGGTGGTTCAGGGAGCTAGCTTTACAGTAGGAGATGCTGGTGGTTGGACCTTTAGTGTCTCAGGTTGGCCCAATGGCAAGAGTTTTAAGGCTGGTGACATTCTTCGTAAGTATTCAAAATGTGTCCATTTATTATTATTATTTTAATTTTAATTTTTTTAATGCAAGAAGGTCATGTTTGGTTTATTGGAATAAAAGTATATTAGAATGATTATTTCATCAGAATATCCATTCTCAAATTTGGTTTATAAAAAAAATAATAAAAAAATATATTGCAAATGAAATCATTATTTACCATTATAAGTGAATGATCATTCTGTAAGGAGGCTATGAAATGAACATTTCATTTTTATTTCAATCAACCAAACATAGCATAAGATGGAAATGAAGGAAAGAAACAAATTTATTATAAAGTGAAAAGGTTAGAATACAGGAATCATGTCCGGTAAGGTTGTATTTAAATCATAGATTTTGGTAAGGATTAGAAGGAAAATATATATATATATATATATAACAAAATAAAAATAAATAAATGTTTCCCTTTTCGATTCTCTACTTAAATTTTTGATCCAAATACAAGTCAAAAGAACATCTAACAATCATGTTTTTGTCTGGATCACTATAATTTAAATATTTGAAGTTGTACCTCAAGTCTATTATAATGGTGAAATTCACCATGTGATTGTCACTTTAAATAATTACACATACATATAAAATTAAAATTACATGTCACAAATAAGAAAAATACCAAAATACCCTTATTAAAAATTGATCTAATATGAGATTGCTCGTTTTCTTAATTCTTGTTGACAGAGTTCAACTATGGCCCGGGAAATCACAATGTGGTTGTTGTGGGTAAGGCAGATCATGACAATTGCAATGTCCCCAATGGGGCAAAAACATATACAAGTGGAAGAGATCAGATAAGGCTTGCAAAGGGACCAAACTACTTCATCTGTGGAATTCCAGGCCACTGTCAAGCTGGCATGAGTATTGCTGTTACTGCCACTTAAATAAACCTTGCTTTTCTATGGTTGATAATCTCTAGTTAATTTTTAAATTCTATAAAAAAAAAATCAAAGTGTTTTGTTTTTAATTTTTTTTATTAGCAATAAAATCACCAGTGCTTATGTCATGATGATATATAAATGAAAAAAGTTACATTACATGCAATTTTTGTGCAATGGATTGTTTCATGTTGTGTACATAGTCAAACAATTTTATTTTATTTTTTATTTTTTAACAAAGAATAATCGGTTCTAAGTGGAGTTCTTTAGACCCACACTATAACAAATTAAAGTTTTAAACATAAAAATTTATGGATAAAATTTCTTAATTATTAAAGACGAAATTGGACATTTATTAGTAAAAAAATGGATCATTTGTTATTGGCAGAGGTTATAATGTGCACCTTCAAAAAAGTACATATGGTATGCCTTTCATAACTTTTTCACAAAATTTCATAACTTAAATCCAACATATCATAATTTTTTTATTATAAAAATCATAACTTTTTTTCATTGAAAAATGTCATAATAAAATCTCAAAGTGTCATAACAAAATATCATAACATTATCATTCCTGACTTTAAGGTGCAGATCATAAATTCACTATTTATAACTTTACTACAAAATGTCATAACATACATCACAAATAATCATAACATTCATCATAAAAAAATCATAACTTTTTTACAATGTGCACCATTTGAAAGGGTGCACATTGTAAATTTCTTCTTTGTTATATGCGTAGAAACTTAAAAGGACGAAATGTTATTTCTAAAATTATAAAAAACAATTACTATTTTAAACAAATCTCAACAATATGGTTGTAATTTATTAGGGTATTGACTCCGGGCCACCAAAAATTTCAAAGGTCCAACACGTTTTGTTTCTCAGACACGTGAATCTAGGGATGTAATTGTTTGGTACGGTCAGTATTTAAGTAAAAAATTTTACTGAACCGATAATATCGGTCTTATTATTTTGAATACTGATACATATAATTTCTCCCATCAAACCACACCGAATTGAACTGATTGAAACGGTTCGATTCGATGCGGTTTAATTGGTTTAGGATCTTTCAAACTTAAGCCACTTTTAAATATAATTACTAATCTATATAAAAATATTAAATTAGTTATTTATCCACCATTTCAAACATATCCAATCCATCCATTTAATAAATACTTATCAATTCCTAGATTAATAAAAATAAAAACAAAAAAAAGTTAAAAAATACTAAATAATGAGTTAGAGTTAAGATTATATATAATAAAAGTTTACAAACTTAGATTACAAAGATGATAAGGTTAATAATTTATTATACTTGTTAATATCATTATATTATTAGATTATATATATATATATATTATAAATACAATATATGTTGAAGCGGTCGGTTTTGGTTTAATTCAGTGCACAAGGTGCTTGAATCGATACCGAACCAAAAATCAAAAAAAGAATGTGACGCCTCAATTTTTTTTGAAACGTCATAAGATTTAAATAACAATAACTTGCTAGATAAAATTTTAACTACTAGTTAGGAACTTTTAAGTTCTTACAAAGCCAAAGTCCAACGACAAAATAAAACTACAAGTTCACACACAACGTCACAACATAGTTTAATCCTAATACAAGGGATAACAGGATTTTATTCTGACAAAATCTTGACTCTAAGTCAGCCAAGGTTCGATATTGGCAGCAGCTCCAATTTCAGCCTCAGTCCCTTCTTCAACATAATCTGGCATGAAACGCCAGGGCAACAAAATATATGCCATGAGTTTTGCAACACAGTAAGAAAACGTAACCAACCTACCATTCTTTTTAAGAGACAAATAATAATATTCTAAACATGAGATAACAATATAATTATACACAGAAATTACAACCATTAGAATAGTTTCAATAATTTTAATAATTTAGGTGACACTCGAAATCTCACCAAAGAACCGCCACCACAACTTGAGTTGAGAAAATCTACAAGGGACCGACAACTTTCAAGAAAGTATCCTCCCAATGAATTTGTGTTGATTATGAATGGGCAGATTAGACTGGAAAAGAAGAGCACGAGCAACTTGCAAGATATGACCATGCTTATGCTCTACAACTCCATTTTGTTGTGGAGTGGAGACACAAGAGCTTTGAAATTCAACACCTTGAGTTATAAAAAATGATTGTAGAGAAAGAAATTTACTATCATTGTCACTTCAAAATATTGTAATGTGTGTGTCAAATTGGTTGTGAACAAAGGTGAAAAAAGATTTAAGTAAGAGAGGAGCATCATATTTATAAGAAATAACCAAGTACAGTAAGTAAAATCATTCACAATGGTTAAAAAATAACGAGCACGAGAATGTGTTTGATGTCTATGTGGACCCCAAATATTACAATGAATTAATTGAAAAGGAAATGTAGAAGAAATAGAACTTGATGGAAATGGTAATCTAGTTTGTTTGGCCAGAGGACAAATATTACAAAAAATTTCAAAAGGAACATAAACATTAGAATTTGACTTAGAAATGAGGTGCAGACAGGCAGGTGATGGGTGGCTAAGGCAATGGTGCCAGGTAGCATCAAATTCCAAGGGTGTTTATGACACAGATTTGTCACATTTCCTTATATTAATTCCATGCTTAATTTTATAGACACACTCACTACACTAACCATTTATTATGAAACTAGACTTCTCAAATTTCATCTTCTAGTTAGAAATTACCAGATTTGGCTTAGTATAGAATTTTAAATAAATTTTCACATACATGGTAAAATCTGTCTCACAGTTTCAGATTTAGTTAGAAATTTGTATAAATTCGTAGAAAGCTCGAAAATTGTTTCCAAATATTTCTGGATAAACTAGACATCATTATCAACAACTTTGTAGAAGAAATCATCTTGAAATTCTGAGTATAAAATTGTCTAAAAATTCGGGTAATATGCTGGCAGATTCAAGACAGATTATTCTCAACACAGTTTCAGATTTAGTTAAAAATTTGTATAAATTCGTAGAAAGCTCAAAAATTGTTTCCAAATATTTCTGGATAAACTAGACATCATTATCAACAACTTTGTAGAAGAAATCATCTCGAAATTCTGAGTATAAAATTGTCTAAAAATTCGGGTAACATGCTGGCAGATTCAAGATAGATTATTCTCAACACAGTTTCAGATTTAGTTAAAAATTTGTATAAATTCGTAAAAAGCTCAACAATTGTTTGCAAAAATTTCTGGATAAACTAGACATCATTATCAACAACTTTGTTGAAGAAATCATCTCGAAATTATGAGTATAAAATTGTCTAAAAATTCGGGTAACATGCTGGCAGATTCAAGACAGATTATTCTCAACACAGTTTTAGACAATGTATCAAATGTACATAATCGGAAAAATTTCAATTATATAAAAAAAATGAGAGGGTTGAGAGGGTTTTCTTATTTAGTAGTAGGATTGAAATGGAATAATGAAATGGTAGGAAAATATGCAACCTCAACGTCCTCCTCTTCTTCCACAAGAATTCCCTCTATTTGGATGTATATGGTTTATGCTTAGCCTTCAAAATGTGCATGACCACTAGGTGCATTTTATAGATCTTCTCCGAGGCTAGCTCTCTCTCCCTCCCTCCCTCTCACACATTCTTTTCATTAATAAATCCATCCACTTTCTCCAAGTTCTAAGAAATGTGACTTTCACTAAATTCTTTGCTCTCTTTCTCCAAGTTCTATGGCTTTCCCTAAATTTTATGGTTTCCTAATTTCTAAGAGATGGTGGGTTTGGTAGGAACTATGGGTTGTTTGCCCACGGTTTGTTTGTTTGTATTATTTTTTACACAGAAATTACAACCATTAGAATAGTTTCAGTATAACTAAGGTATTTAGTAAGAATAGTTATTATATTGAATCCTAATTAAAATAATTTATAAACAACAAATATTGAACACCCACAAAATTATGATTCTTAATAATGTCTTGTTAGTGATTGAATTGAGTCGATTTAAAACTAACTTTTACATTAATATATAATTCAGATAGACTGTGGACAAAAATTAATTAATTAATTTTCTTTAAAGAATAATTAAAAGGTGGGTTTTCACAAAGAAAAAAAAATTAAAAAACTGCACAGACAGATTCTTGTTAAAAAACAAACTAAATATAACCGGTTTAGTCCAATTCAATCGGTTTGGTCAGTTTTTTCGATTTTTCTTACATCCCTATGTGAACCGCTATAACTTTATGAGAACACTACATAGCAATTTATTTTTACAAAAAAATTATTAATATTAATAATTAAAATCATAAAATTTTCAATAATTTTATAATTATTTTTCTCACAATCCATTATTTTATAATTTTTCCTAGTATGATTGAAGACAGTAACCTTTGGTCTCATCACACATTTATCTTTTGGAAAAGTCTGTAATCTCAGAATTAATGTTTCATAATTGACCCAGAATGAATATGTGTGATAGAAATTAAATTGATAAGTTGTGTTTGGTTGAGGAATTTGAGGAGAGATTTGAAAAAGAAAAAGAAAAAATTAGATGAAAGATGAATAAAATATAGCTACAATTCACCTAATTTCACATACCTTTTTCCTTTCCCTTTTCAAATTCCTTCTCAAATCCTCCAACCAAACATCAATCCATTCTAAAACAAGAAGATTTTCCATATCAAAATCCACACCATTTTGAATATCCACACATTGATTGCGCCCAAAAATGGAGACGCAAGTTTGACGGTATAATCCATAGAATAACATTCAAATTTGAAACTCAATCCCTATTTAATCCATTCTATCCTTTCGTTACCACATTTGAATCGGCACACTGAATCACATTTGTCACCGATTTCAGACGTAGTTGTTGGCTATTTGTGGAATGCCACATTGTCTGAGTTGGATTTAAAAAAAACCAAAACTAAGTTTTGGAAGGAATGACGTGGAAATTTTATGTGTGAGCTCAGCTGGAGAGTACTGGCAGAATAGATTAAGCCCAATAACCTACAAAAGAAGATGAGAA